CAAACAATTCAGAAATAATCACTAAAGATGGATCTTTTCTGTGGTGGTACGATAATTTTTAACTCTTCATCAGAAATAATTATTTTTTCCACTTTAATGTGCAAAAGCTATTTTATTGCTACAAGTTTCAGTTTCTAAACCATTTATCCTCGTTAAAATACTTGTAGCTACTTTTTAAATACTGTGTTACCATATTTCAATGCTCTCGTTCTTGCTGATTATATAATTAAATTGTATGCCTTTTGGGGTAACTTTATAGAAGAGTGGGATAGCTGTCTGGTATTCTTTCTGTAACAGATACAGCAAAGTTATGAAGATCCATGATGAAACAACATTACAACAATAGAACTGGCTGGTGTTAGATGGGATAATTAATAATAATAATAACAACAACAACAGAGTTGGAAGGGACCTTGTAACCAGTGGTGGGCTACTGGATGGTCGATGGGGCTCGAGCGAGCCCCTAGCTGTAATCTCTGGCTGGGCCCAGCCATCCGCCCTTGTGCTATGCTTTCCCTAAATAAGTAACTTTTCCCCTGCCCAGGCAAGTTCCACGCTGCCCTGCTATACTCCCCAGAGCTGCCTGAATCAATTAGCTGCTTGTTTGAAGCTGCGTTTCAGCCCCAAAGCAGTGCATGTGAATGAAGCAAATGCGCATGTAGGCTCATGACCAGTGAACCGCTTGCCAACAAAAATGCAGCCCACCTCTGCTTGTAAGTCATCTAGTCCAACCCCCTGCTTAAGCAGGAGGCCCAATACCATTTATGGGAGAACGCCTAGAAGTTTAACCCATGGCACCTGAAATCCCACCAAAGCAAAACAAAATATATAACAACAACATTATGTTATTGGGAAAGTATTTTTGAAGGCATTCCATCTTTTGCTCTTAAAAAAGTGTGATCAATTTGACGAAAATGATACTGTGGTTTTGTTGGTCATTGTCTCAAGTTTGCATTTTTGTAGTCAAAAGAATACTAAGTATCAGAACTCATAAGATCTGGTGGCTTCAATCTGACAAGGTTGAAGTAAAGAAAGTTAATAAATATTTATTCCTTTCCTTTATTTATTTTTAATGCTTATTGAAAGCAGTAAGAGAAAACCCTATAGAACAACTAAGTATCTTTTCTGAAACTTCTCTCCTTTTTTTAAAGCTTTCTATTTCTAGATCTTGGAGATGTATTAAATGATTGATCGATTGAGTTTAAGTCAGTTTTGATTTCTGACAACTACCTGATAGGGCTTCAAGAATTGGTGGTGACATTGGAAACTGAGTTCTCCAAAGTTGAAACTCTGTTCCTAAAGTCACAGAGGGAAATCTACGAAATCCTATGGCTCTTGAAATGCTTATAGATTTTAGGATTGTATTCTTAATGTTACAAATTTATTTTTTTAAACAAATTTGGAATTGTTTTACACAGAACACATTCTAATGTTTTAAGTAAATTAATATGAATTAATTAAGCTACATATTTACTTTACATGGAATGTATTCTAATGTTCACAAATGAGTCCTTCATAATTTTGAGTCAGGCATGAAAGAATAACAGAAATGAGTGTATGGATGCTATATTGGAATCTATGATTTTCCAAGCTACTGATGTCTGGGACAAACTGGTAATTATTACTCATGATTTTGCAAAAGCAGAATCAGTTTCAGAATGCATAGTTTCTCATTAGTTATTAAAGCAAGCACCCTACATATTCTTGAACTGTTTTTTGTGTTCTTAAGCCTGACTATATTACTTTTGCCATTTCTGTAAGTTTCCTTTCATAATTTTTATTATTCATTCCAAAATCTTTCCTATTTAACTTGAATTCTTTTATACATTTCCATAATGAATGTTATGCTCTGATAATTTCAGTTAAAAATAAAAATGTTTTTCTTAAATGTGTCCTCCAGCATGCTTTTCTTACAATGGCTGTGTATAAATTATACAACAAATTCTGCATATGGTTTCCTTCTAGTTCCTTCATTCCATTCCATTCCCATTTTTTTTAGACGGTGGGAATCTTGTATATAATTAGTATTTTAAAATGCTTTTAGTTACAGTATTATCTAAAAGGAGACATTTCCCTATGGGAGCAGTTTCTTAACAATTTATATGAAGATGGACATATACCATCAGATATACAATGAGGCGATGCGCATAGTCAGAAGAAAGCACCAGCCTTTAAAAACTATAGTCTGTGTAACTATGTTCAGATTTATACTTTAGAAAGTCTACACTTCAGTTATACCTGCTGTAATTTAAAATTACATATTTCAGTCGTTTCAACAGGGTATGCAATTTCTTTTTTTTACAAAGTGGAAAAAGAATTGTAACTTTAATATGCAAATGCGTTTCAAAGCAAAAGCAACAACATAGATATAAATTTAAGATTGACATTGTGTTTTATTTATACTGTGTGCATAAATAAATACACAAATGAGTGTCCCTATATGTAAGTGTAAAAATAGTAAAGATATGTACTGTACAAAAAAGTAAAAAAAACCAACCCCTGTAGTTATTTTAGATCCTTATGGGTCATATGCTAAAGGAAATAGCCTAAGTACAACTAAGTGCAAATACATTGATTTCTTGGACTTAGTCTTGTCTGCTTAATATCCTTAACTACACAGATCTATCAGGGATCTTCTGAAAAAACTAGCAAGGTCAAGAAATTTCACAAACTCTAAAGCTAAGGGAAGATAATTGAATTATCAATTTAGAGTTTTTATTTAAATAAATATTTTACATTTCATGCTTAACCTGTAAATGCACTATCAGGATCAAGATAAGGGAATTCTACTGTAGACAGTACAAACAGTAGCAGCAAAATTGTACACTGAGGTGAAATATAGAGACCCTGCACATAGTAAGGAAAGCTTACATTTTTCACTCTTGGAGAAGCACATGGCCTGTGCAAGAACTAGTAGCTTCAAGAAGTGATACCTTCCCTCATTAAAAAAAAGAAAAGAAAAAAGTATAAAACAATGAGCAAAATGTATTGGAAGAATCATGATGGGAAGCAAAGCTGTGTGCAAAAATTATCCAGATATAAACCAGTCTTTGATGTCCTCAAGATGGCTGCATTGTTAAGAGGACATCCTGTCCTGGAAGCAAGTATAAGCTGGAGCCAACAAGACTGAAAATACAATTTCTTGAAAGCTCTTGTGTCAGGGTAGCATAATTCAGAAAAGCCTGCAAGACAGTAGAAAAGCTACAAATGTATTGTGGCCATAATGTTAGTTCTATTTAAACAGAAAAAAAAAATACTGATATATTACTTGGGAAGACTAGCTGCTACATTCTGAAGGATTATTTCATATAGGAACATGAATTCAAATCCCATTTGCCTTTAAATCAAACCAAATTATATAGACCTGTGACAAGTTTAGTCAATCTGGTAAGCTTCAAGTATTTTGGCCTTTCAATTTCCATCATCCTATCCTCCTTAGTACAAGAAAGCAAGGTGACAAAGCTTCTATGCTGACTTGAGTCTGTGGATAACACACTAAATGCAGGCAATTGATATAAAATAGGATGCCAGCTTAGGAGGAAGTCCTCCACACACACACACACACTTATCAGGATGAGTTATAGTGGGCTGCATCCAACATTAGATGAGCAGACATGCATTTGCTACAGTCCAGCCTTTGAGAAAGATTTAGGGAAGGAGGATAGGAATGTTAGTTCACTAGCAGATGTCAGCCCAGTATTAATAATATATAAATTCAGAGGCAATTTAAATACTGACTTTTAAATATTTTCTCTATACAAAATGGCAGAAGTTCTGTTCTTTATAATATGGAATTTGCAATTCTGTGATTTAAAAAGACAGATGCTGTTTGATTTGGAGAAAACTATGATTTAAGGCTTTCTATAATACTGCCTTTTATATGGAAACAAGGTTGCCTTCTCTTCCTGCCCACATAATTGTCAATTCTTTCTGACAATGGCCACCATTAATATAGGCCAATCACACTCTCTCAGCTAAGCTATCACATAGGTTTATGTGAGGAGAGACTCCTGATATCAGAGGTGGGCAACTATGGCCCCTTTATGACTTGTGGACTTCAACTCCCAAAATTCCTAAGCTAGCATGGCTTGCTCAGGAATTCTGGGAGTTGAAGTCCATAATTCATAAAAGGGCCATAGTTGCCCACCCCTGCCTTATATGTTACTTTGAACTTCTGAACGAAAGATATACATCAAAATTTATTTATTCAATTTATATGGCCATCTATTAATCTCTTTTCCTCAGTAACACAATATAGAGCAATTAAAGAGTTAAAATAGCAGAGGCTATTCTGGTTCATCTCATACAGAACTTGGTTTAATATTGTTTCCTACTTCAAGGCTAGATGTTAGCATACTGCTCTCACCAAAGTGCTGTAAAAGTCCAAGTTCTTTTTGAGACCCTGATCCATAAGACCACTAGGGAAGTAACTGAATCTTGAGGTCTTTTATATGAAATATATAACATATAGAAACTACATGGTACTGAACCTGTTTGGTGCAAGCCCACTGATTCCAGGAAAAGATCACTGATATCATAATGAAAAAGCTATAGGGTCGTGTCTGCAAAGGTAAGCTAATGCACATTGCTTGTATTGTTCATTGCTCTTTGAAACTGCAGGTAAAATAATTAATTTCATTAATTATAATCACTTCAATATAAAAGAGAGGTATCACTATATTTTGGATTTTGTTCATAAGACACCTGGTTTTAGTGTTGCCATCAAGTGCCAAAAGAAAGCTGTTTTTTGTTCAGCTGATCACATATTCATAAAATTACAAGTTCCTTTTCAGCAAAATAGCAAAATTGAAAGTTGGTCTAACTTTTCTCAGAAAACAACTTTATTGTGTATTTCATAGCAATGCCCTTGTCTGAAGATCCAAGGAAAGATGAAAGACATTAATGTTCAGGAAATCATCTAGAACTTTAAGACTAGCCCTATGATACTTCTATAATTTCATTTGTGAATTTTTCAAAAAAAATTCATTTGTAAATTTTTCAAAAAAAATTCATTTGTGAATTTTTCAAAAAAAAAAACCAGAACAGCAAAAATATGTTATCAAAGCATTCATTTATAGTAATGATCTAAAAAGTAATCTAGGATGTAAGCAATGGATAGTTCAGAATGGTAGAGCCCATTCACTATTGAATATGAATGATCTTGGAGTAATTGCCTGATCCCATCAGTGTTGCACAAAATACAATGTGTTCCTTGGTCAATACTACAGTTATGCTAAAATATTATCTTCTGAAGCCCAATGTTTGCACCCTGCAATAGAGATGGGATCATTCAAATGTTTGAAATAATATGCCTGTACAACGAGATGATAGAAAATATTTCTGATCCTTTGAACAAAAGCTAATTTCTTCTGAACTAGCACATCAGGTTGATTGGCAAGATGAGTTTAGGAGTGTTAATATTTATAAATACCACTCTCATCTATCCATATTATATATTGAGAAAGGGTGAGACATTGAAACCTTATTAAAAACCTAAAACTCTGTTAAAAAGTGAGCGTAGCGAGGATGGAAAAACCGAATTGAGCCTCATTTACCTAATATTGGTGGAATGAGCATCCTAAATGAGGCAGCTTGGTATACAACAGATAAGAAAAACAAGTATACATTGGCCTCATTTTATACACAGCTACTCATTAATTATTTTATGTTGAGTAGACAGCATAACAAAAAGAGTTCATATTTGCTTTCATATTTTCTTGCGTACTAGCATAACTGGTCTGTTGTTTTTGATAAAATATTAATAATCAAGTGTTACTAATCTAGAATCTGGGGCTAATTGTAAAAGGTAAAATATCTCTTATACAAAACCAAAGAAAAAGATCATAAAATTCTATTTTATGTATGTCAAGATTTCCTTTTTTTTCTTAATCTCTATAGTTTTACTACATTAAGTTCCCTGGCCAACACATCAAAACTCTGAAAGCAATGGGTAGAAATCAGATAGGATTATAACTTAAAAAAATCAAGTCATCATAAAAATAGTATTAATGAGAACGTAAAATACAATATTTGTATAATGTAAAAATGGGATTGCATGGAATGTTATTCCTCCATACTGACTGACCAATGGCACGTTTAAAAAATAATTTACCACTGACCATCACAAATAGTGCAGGACTAATGGACTTTGGACAGAATGAACAAAATTTCCATGTGGGCAATATCCCAAAATAACAGACTTCTTGTTTGGGGAATGGTCTGGACAGCAGTTGCTACTAAACACTCAAAAATGGATATGTTTCCTGTGTAACTTCTAGGAGACAAAAAATGCAAGGATGGTGAGGCGGGTGGTGGGTGTATATTGTACATATTTAATGGTGGAGTTCCTGGGAGGGTCAAGGAGAAAAGGGAACTGAGAAAACCTGGCAGACGATGGGAGGAGGAGGGGTGGGGCTGAGCTGGGCTGAGGAAAAGAGGCTGGGGAGGTGTTGTGAGGAGGAACAACAGCTGTGACTCCTTCCCCTTCCCTCACCTGCAGTTCTGGCCACTGCTTCCTTGGTGAAAGGAGCAAGAGAGAAAAGTGTCATCAAACATCTCAAAGACTGATGCTAGGAACAACTACTTCCCTTGAAGGGGTGGATTTGAAAGTGCTTTTTCCTGTAGTTCATCTCTAGGAAGGCTAGAAAGCAAGGAAAGTGGGGTGTGGATGGTTGGAGGCAGAGGACAACCTGAGAGTTTAACGGACTTTCAAATTTAATGAATACCCCTGTCCCTTAAACAGTCTGTTCAACTGTGGCTGCTCTATACTTTAGTATAATACTAAACTACATCTGCTTAATGATTATGTATAACATAAGTATGAGTAAACTAAAATGGCCTAGGTACACACCAGCCTAATCAATAAATGTGCTGAACTGTGGAAAGCCACGCCTGTTCCAATCCAGCAAGACTGATCCCTGTGCAGACATTTATATAAGGGCTGCACAGGAGAAGAAATGTATCTTATGTCAGGATTTTTTTTATTAATTTAGGCTGGCATATTTCAGGTAGAAAAATGATGATAGTACATGACCTCATCCATTTGGCATGTAAGACTCCTGACTTCTCTTATTTATCCACACCAAAAGGAGAGAAGCGGTCCTAATTAACTATCTTGTCCATCTGAAGATCAAAGAAATATTTGCATATTAGTACTGCTGAACTATTATTAAAGAAAGAGTGTACTCGTATTTAATACATAGTACTAAGACACTGATCATAAACTAAATTTCTCATTCTTTCTGACTGTTCCTTACTGCTTCGCAATTTTTAATAATGCAGAAGTTGTCTTATTCTATAATCATTCCACACAAGCGATACACAGTATTTCTGACCTACTATAGTGTAGAAGTACAATGACACCTACCTTATTTCTTTAAAGCATAGATTTATCCTAGCTGCCTGAATAAAATGCCCACATGCCTCTTGATAACCCTAACATGTTCCACTGCCTGCAGTGATACTTCAAATTATGTACATTTTCTGCATCAAGAGATGGATACAACTGCATGTAAATATTTTTTAAAGTCTTGAGGGCAATTTTCTTAAGACTTAGACAAGTCATATAAGAGCTTAAAAGATTATAGGAGTTACAAAGAATGAAGTCAAGAATCGTCAGTTATAATCCCACAGATCATCCTTCAGGACTAATCTGGCATACATTATTACACTTATTAGCTCCTTTAGAAAATCTCAACTCCCATCACCAAAGGCCATGTCATAAATTGCCTTTCATCATGTTTATTTTTTAAAATCTTTTAAATGAAAAAATAAATATTCAAACATCCTATTTAATAAATATTTTGAGAAATAGGTTTACTAAAAATGTTGCATCTGTCATGGCTAGAACTAATACGGTATTTTAAAACAGATACTCCTATCAAACTAACTAAATGTTTGAAAACTTTACAATGCATTTCTTGTAATCATTGTGGCCTTGGTAACTTAAATTTTTTGAAGGTTATCCAACTTCTATACAACATTCAACTTCAGTAAAGACTGTGCAAACAATTGGGATACATGGGTTGGGGATTTTTTTCTTGACTGTAATGAAACAGTTTAACTATAAAAACCAAATTCTAAGTACAAGGTACACTTTCAGAATTTTAACATTTTCATATAGAAAAAAGTGCATTCTTTTGTTCAGCTTGTACAGTTCTTCCGTACATTATAAAATAAATTGCAAGCCTTTTCTAGGATGTAGCAGCATTGCAAACATGACACATACAATCATTGTCACTAAAAATAAATACTACTGAAGTGTAACAAAATATTCAATTAAAATATCAGAAGAAAAAAAAACTAGTTCATAAACTCAGAAAAACATAAAAACATACAAATTTTGGTGGAAAGCAATGTTGTTAAGCTTGTCTAAGTTCTTCAGCCTCCAGGGGTGATGAATATCAACAAAGAAAACGGAAAGCACAAGACACAAATCATAACAGGTTGAAACATCACTTGCTGCTTTCATGTTATAATTTCTTCCATTTAAATGTCCCATTCTCCATAATTGCACATGATTCTGGAAGTCTAAGTGGGAAACTGGTGATCCCAGATATTTTGCTTCTTGGGTAGTATCCAACAGTTAAAAAATAATTATATATAATTATACATATATCTTATCTATCTTTGTGTGTGAGCATGTGTATGTGTGTGTGCACACATATACACACACAATTATAGGACCTTTGCCTGAATGTTTTTATCCGCGTTAAAGATAAAACTGATTCAAGTGATGACATATATCTACCAAAAGCTTGCATATGTACACATCCACCTTGTAGTATTTTCTAGTTCTGTCAAGCTCCAATCAGCTTGAGAAAATATCCAAATTAATCACGTTTTAAAATTTTGATCTGCCTTTTAAAAGGGAACAAGGACTGTATTCACAGACCAGCATGTCCTTTAACCTCTGCTCTGAGAAGGCAAGGGAACAAGAGCTGGTTGTGCACACAATTGAGAATTTTCCTTCTAATATCTGGGGATTGCTTTTTGCTATGACTGTCATGCTGAAACAGCAGTAACAGCAGGTCAGCTTAGACCAATGTAACACCTCATGCAGATAAATCAAATAAGCTGATAATCAAAAAAGGAACTTGGTCAATTTGGAATGATTTCTGAAAGTGCTCTGCTCTCCTAAATAATAACAAGGACTGGTGGTGATGTTCAGGAATCATTTTCAGTGATAAATTGAGTATGTCTCTATAGCAGGAATACAAAACAGGAAGTTATTCCCGTCCACTTGCAGAATAAGAAAACTGAGGGAAATGTGGTCGTCTCTCATTGTCCATGCAGTCCATGCCATCTTCATCATCTGTGGAATTGAAGGTTAAAGATAGCCTCATAAAAATGACCAGTATGTTCCTCTACATAAGTAGTTTTGCACATTTTATTACTAGAATGATACTGTCTTAAATGCATTTTTCTTAGATTAGTTCAATGAAATGTGAAAAAAATCACATTTTGTCTTTCAGATTTTATTGTTGGAAGATTTTAATATGCATTTCATATTTCAAGTTGCCAATTAAACATAAAATTTTTGAATATGAAATTACTTTTGTGTTTATATTTACTATAATCTTTTGTAGAGATATGTAAAACTAAAGACTATTTTTGCAAATGTTTTTTAGAATGAGAAACCAAATGGACTAAACAGAATAAGATTAATTATTAGGCCTAGTTTGAAATATAAATGTTACAAGTCTTCAGAATTCTTTTGTAATAGGGTTACAAAAGAAGAATGCTCGATATTCAGTAGAGTGAAGAAATAGATTAAATAGAATCTCACTCCAGTAAGTTTATACTCTGAACTTTTGAATTAACTCATTAACTCATCCAACCCATCTTGTATTAATCACAGGGGCTTTTTTATCCTTCTGAATTAGGGTACAGCAGAGTACATAATCATGTTTGAAGTCATTGCTGAAGATTTCCTGTTATAACATCTCTTAGACAGCTCCAGGTGTACTCATATACAAATAAAAGGCAGCCAATAATTCCTTATTCTCCTCCTCCTGTCGCTGCAGTCTTTTATGCCTCGTAACGGCTATATCCTGACCATTTGGATGAATGTGAGTAACACAGACCTCTGCTATTGAAGACACCCACCAAAAAAAAATTGGCAAGAATACACGGTGCCAAAAAAGTGAACTATCAACCTTCTTCTCTTCGCACTGGTAGACCTTTCTGATTTCCAGGGACACTCCTCAATGGCTGACTGATATCATCACTGGATACTCACACTCACAAATTACTATTATCACTATTATTTGCTGTAATAGCTTTATAATCTAAGAATATGTCTTAATCTAAGAATATGTCTTAGATTCTTTATAATCAAATAAATGAAATGTGAATTCCTCCCCTCCTACCTTCCTTAATAATGAGATACTTACATTTTTCCGGTGGTGTTATTGTAATAGTTTGAGCAGTAAACTCTTCATCAAAGTATCTGGTGTCAGTCTCAGATGTCACTTGTGGTTTAAAAGGAGGAACAAGCTGAAGGTGTAATGAAAGAAAAATGTTTATTAATGAATATGAATATTCTCAATTTAAACGTAGGACTGTAAAAAGAGGTAGGAGAATAATTAATTTTATTCTACTAGTTAAGAACAGGTAACAGGTTAACTGAAACCTGAATGCCAACTAGTTTGGCCAAGTTTTAGCCTAGCAAATTTCTATTTTAGCAATTACAGAGAGGGGAAAAAAGTAGTCTTAAAAAATAAAGAATTCATAAATCACAAACAAGTATTTACTTATTTGATAAGCATTTTATTCCCATTTTAAAATAACCCATTAAATTAAAAAGCTAAAATGAAAACACATCCATTAACATAAGCATCACAAATTTAATCAACCATTTATTAAAATAAATGGGCTTGAACACACTGTACATTATATTTCAATTTTCACAAACCATCCTTTCCCCTGCATGTATGTCTTGGTTTCTTAAACCTGTCTTCCATTGATGTCTTAAAAAAAGAGCTTCATGTGGTTTATAGAATCTTCTAGATGGCAAGGAGGTGATGAGTAGCAGGGAGAAAGAAGAACTGCTTAATTCATTCTTTAATCTGTCTTTATGCAAAAGGAAGAAATAATTCAGCCTATTAAAAGCAGCAATGTAGGAGATAGAATAGGAATGTCAAAATAGGCAAGAAAATGGTAAGAGAGGACCTGTCCACAGTAGTTCACAGTCTACTTCTTGGTAAGATAGAACAACATGGGATAGAAAGTCGTACCAGATGGACTCACAACTGGCTGACCAACCGCACTCAGTGGATATTTTTCATTAGAAATACATCTACATGGAGAGAATCTTGAATGGGATATCGCAAGGTTATGTTTTAGGTCTAGTGCTCTTCAACATCTTCATAAATAACAGGGGGTAGACAGGATACTAAATTTGTAGAAGACACCAAACTGGGGAAAACAGCTGATTCTTTAGATGAACGACTCAAGATTTAGAAGGACCTGGACAGATTGAGCCCTATCCAACAATATGCAATTCAGTGGTAAGAAAATTAAGGCCCTAAACTTAGGGAAGAAAAAAGAAATGTGCAGATATAGCATAGGTGGTACCTACTCAACTATGAGAGGGATCTAGATGTACTAGTAGACACTTAAGTACGAGCCAGCAATGTGCTGCTGCTGCCAAAAAAGCCAATGCAATCCTAGATTACATTGACAGAAGGGTGGTTTAAAGATCACATGAAGTGGTAGTACTATTTTATAGTGCACTGGTAAAACCATACTCGGAATACTGTATCCCATTCTGGTCACCACAATACAAAATAGAGAGACCATAGAAACAATGTGAAGAAGGGCAAGAAAGAAGACAAAAGGTCTAGAGGTGAAGCCATATGATGAACGAATAAGGAAATTAGGTATGCCAAGTCTTACAAAGAGAAATATTAGGAGCAGTATGATAGCAGTCTTCCGATACTTGAAGGGCTGTCACAAAGAAGTTTAATTATTCTCCAAGGCACCTGAGGGATAGACAAGAAGTAACAGGTGGAAGATCATTAAGGAGAGATCCAACCTATATAGAACTGAATTGAAATTTCCTGACAGTGAGAACCAGTGGTGGTATGCTATCAGATCAGCCCCGTTTAGGCGAACCGGTAGTTAAAAAAAGCCTCAGATCAGCTGATAGGAGGAAAAAAAGCTTCCAAATCAGCCAAGAGGATAAAAAGACTGAAAAGCGATGGGAGAGGGAAGAGTCACTCCTAGCTTTTCATTTCTTCATCCTGTCAGCTGATTGGCTTGTTAGGTGCGCATGCGTTAGGTGTCGCACACACGCGATCACCCACTGAACCGATAGGGACTAAGGTAGGATCCCACTACTGGTGAGTCAGTAGAACAGCTTCCCTCCAGAAAATGTAAGTGTTCCATCATTGGAAGTTTTCAAGAGGAGATTGGACAGTCATTCGTCTAGAGTTGCATAGGGTCTCCAGCTGAGCAAAGGTGTTGGACTAGAAGACCTCCAAGATCCCTTCCAACTCTTATTATTCTATGTTTTAGACAATCATTTCAAACATGAAAATCATAACTTTTTTCCCTATATCTATATTTATTCATCTATCCTTCCTTCTTTTCCTGAAAATCCAGGAAGTCAAGAAAGAAGCTTCGCAAGACTGCTACCTAATATCAATAAAGCTGAATCAGCATTAATCTGCTCTTTTGTATCAGTCTTTTTAGACCAAAGGTCCTTGTAACACTAATTATTTTAGGCTTTTTTCTGTTTTGGATCAGTGTAATTAAATCTTAATCAGAATTATATACTATATGTACAGGATTTATGGTTGACTACATTTCTTTCAAAACATTCATTAGCTTAAAAACTTTAAAAACAAACTATTAAAACACTTTCTATATCAGCAAAATCAGACCAAAGAGGATGTGCTTAGACGGCAGTTACTCTAATCTCAAAATTCTGACATAGAAAAAGCAGAAGTTTCAATTTAATTAGTGTTAGATAAAACAATAAATCTCAGTAATAGGTAGAGTGTTCAGGCAATTTTCTTCAGGGTAAGCAAAGATATAAAGCAGCAAAAAAAGAAGTAATAAACAAACAGAAAATAAAGAACTCCATTCACTATGTTCTCTTTGCCTTTATATTCTTGCAAACTAGCCTTGCTTTCACCAGCCTAAAGCTTTTTGTTCTTTATATTTCTTACCAGTGTTGATATAAAATAAATGAACTTATCTGATTATATTTTACATATCACTCATACATTTCATTCAACAATGAGTCTCATAACCATTTTAATTTCTGTGTACATTCATTCTCAACATCCCCCAGTCCATATAGATTACAAAATCTCCCCACTCCCAATTGTGCCAGATGTGTGCTTAAGGACAGGACAGTTAAGTTTTATAAAAATAAATATACTGAATATGAGCTATCGCAGGGATCCACAACCCAGTCTGCGGCCTGGCAGTGAAGCTTTATAGCATGAGAGTAGTAGTGATGGCTCACGTCACAGAGGGTCTCTCAGGCAACCAAACAAGAAAGCCTTTCCACAGCTCTCCTTTTTGCCAAGAATTGTGCAACCAGTCAGCTACTGGTCAGTGGAAAAGCAATAATGAAGGCACCTCTGATCAGCCGTTCAGTGGATGGGAGACTTGATTAGTTCTGCCACTTTGCTGACAAAATGTCATTGGTTCTTCACTGGTGACTACACTGGCTTTATTCCTCCCTCAGGTTAGTTCCCCTCCCCCCGAAGTATTGTGCTGACAGCACCCCTATGTTGCCTACCCTTTACATTCCAGAAGATGTCTGGAATATGCATGACAATGACAATAGGAGCAGCAGGTGGCTCAGTTGGACTGCCAGTCTGCAACCTGCAACTGTCACATGACCTACAATACTGCGAGAAGCCATATTGCCTCAAACACTGCTACTATTCAATATGTGGGAACTAAACTGTTTTCTTTCCCCCCAAACTTCTCATTGCTCCAGACTTTGTATCTGATGGTCCTGAAGACATGCTGCATGTAGCATCATTATTTTGTGAGCTATACTAGTTCCTTCTAGCTTCTGGATGCAATTCAAAGTGCTGATTATCACCTATAAAGTCCTTCATGGCACAGGGCCAGGTTATTTGTGTGACCATCTGTCACAATTATCTCTGTTCATCCTATGGAATCTGGCAGAATGGGCATGCTGAGGGACTTTTATAAGAAACAGTGTCACCTGGCAGGAGCAGGAGACATGCTTTCACTGTCACAGCACTTGCCCTATGGAACGCTTTCCCCAAGATTTAGATGACCCTGATCCTGCTGTTCTGTTTCATGGGTCTGAAAAACCTGGTTCTTCCCCCAGGATTTTAAGAGCATGGGATAAGCCATCCAGAGATGAAACAACATGAATGAAATATGTGATGGTTGGCCTTGCTTATTCTATACTGAATGCTGTATTTTGTTTTTAGCATTTGTTTTTATGCTTTCATCTGACTATGTTGCCCAAGATCTCTTTTGTGAGTGGGGCAGCCATATAAAGGAAAGAAATAAATATACATATTTTTTCAGCAATTATTCTTGGGCATGCATTTTTTTCTTAACCAGGGCCTTTTTGTTTTCATCATTTCACCAAGCCTTTTTCATTCTTTCAATCAGTGGAATTTAATTCTTTAATTCTTTCCAAACATTTCTGTGGCACTCTAGAGGATAAGCAACTTCAACATTGCTTTACATCCATTGCTTTACTTCAACATTGCTTTACATTTCTATTCATTCTATTGAGAAATTAAATTAGTTTCTAATGTTTTTTCAAATACAGCTCATACTTCCACTTCCTGAGTCACTGAACTTTCACTCTAGTTTATTTAACCTTTTTTCCCATGTCCATTTGTTCCCCTCAAAATCAACACTAGAAAAATGATGTAAAAATTTCTCATCGTACTTGTATCCTTCAGTAATTCTCTTAAACTAACAATATAATCAATTTCATTCATTCGTTAGCTTTGCGTATCTATGCATCTATATGTTCAAGATAATAGACATTCGTCAATCACCATTTTCATTTAGTCTCAGTCTCTGAATCATCTCTCTCTCTCCCCCCCCTCCTCTCTCCCTCCCTCCCTTGGCATTCTCTCATCTTGCCCCCATCCCATCCATTCTTGGTCATTTAACATACAAACTTTTCCCCCAAGGTAGCATCTATTCCAATGTTGCATTCCTCTCCCTCCCCAGGGTGCACTCTCAGTTCTTTTATTGTCTCCATTCATTAGAATATATCATATAATTATCAGTAACCTATGAATTCATATCTTCATATTTTCTGGTATACATTTTAATGTACTAATTTCATAATTAAATCTACATCTTTAATTCCATGCATACATTCACTAACTCCCCTCCACGGATCAGACTATTTTATTCAGATCGGTTTCAGACTTCCCACATCATTTTTCTTTTTAAAATCATATTCTTCACCACAAATTCACAGTCATCTATAGGCATGATTATTACCCCAAAAGATTGACTTCCATTGCCTGTCATGGATTTCATCAATCAAAATATTGTGATAAGAAGTCGGAAAATGGACAAAAAATAGGTTAACTAGCTTAGGCATATTCATGTCACATTCACCATTCACTGCTGATTCACTGGACACAATAACAGACAGTTGTAGCCCATTTTTATACTATGCCATAAGTACAACCAAAGCTCTGTTTTACTCCAGTCATGCTTACTCTAAAATTACTCAGTCAGTTGCTAGCATCCAACCAAACAAGAGGTACATGCGTTATACTGACACACAATTTACAAACACAATAATACAATATTTGAAATAAACCATATTGTGAAAAATTGCACAATATCTACAACACATATTGCCATAAATTTTGAGGCTATTTTATTTTGCTGAAGTCCAAGAAATTTCATTGAAAGCATAAAGGAAACAAATGTTATAATTTTATTTAAAAATAATTTCTGATCAACATAAAGCTATTTTAAAAATACAAATACCCCAAATATAAGTCAAATATTAAAACTATTTCAACATTTTGGAATTAGTATCTCCCAATGTTGACCAAAAGGAACATATGGAGTGGACTAAAAATTTGGTTATTTTTATAAGGCCAACAAACCTATGCTAATTATGCAAATATCATCAAACATTTAGAAAGGAGAAAACATACATTTAAAAACATTATTAAATGAGAATATAAATAAAATAATGAAGTCCAATGTACTGCTTAATTGCCTTTCATAAAACTATTACAAATCCAAGTTGTAAGCTTGCTTAACTCCTTAAGCAAGATGAAGCTAAATTGGACTACAGATAGCTCTCAACTTATAACCATAATTGAGCCTGGAATTATGTTTGTAAGTGGTTCTAAGTCAAGGCATTATGTGACTGCATTTGAAGTTATAACTGTTTTTATAATGATTGTTAATCAGCAAGCACAGTTATTAAGAAAAGCCATTCACATGACTGTGAAGGGGAGGGGTTCCATATACTTCGATGTTGTGTTAATGTGCATTACATCAAGGCATGTATGTTTGTGTGTAGTTTGTGTTTTTGGACTGAAAAGTAGGATAAATTGTTATATTTTCTTCAAGCTATATTAATGGATTAGCCAAACATAGTTTGAGGAATTTAGAAATTTTAATAACTGTCAGTTATTCTATCAATCTTTTTGATAATTGACTTGAGTACTTTTTTGAAAAAAGCATGACACAAATGTAATGTCTTACCTTAAATCTAAGCAATGTGTAATTCGATATAATGTATTAATATTTGAGAATCTCAGTCATCTTATGTGTGAATACTTAATGTGAGGGTGACACTACCCTTATTTGCACTAAATTGTACTAAATCTGAATTCTCTCTATAAAATTGAAGTTTAACTATGAGGAAAAGAGGTGAAGGCTATACAAATTATAGAAAGCTATGCGCACACAAAACCTTAATCTTTTCACAATTTCAATACATGATGTCGAAAGCTTACAGATTAATTTTCTACATATATGAACGTACAGCTGAGAATTTAGAACTAATTCATCAATGTTAAACAGAGAAACATAATATTTATAATAGAAACTTATGAGAAATATCAATTGAATTGAACCAGAAGCAAAATACACATCTTCTAGAACTCATGACATGAATCTACTGTAGTTCCTAATGGAAATAAATAAAAATATTTCCACTGACAGTTTTAGTATCACAAGTTTATCACAGACTGGATGTATATGTGTAAGAAGTTCACATGTGCACATTACACTCACCTAACAAAAATACAGGATGTACACTAATTATTTATTATATTCATTTATACAAACTAATAATATTAGTATACACAAATTAATAAACCTGACTTTAATTAACATCACAGCTCCATGTGTTTCTGGTTCCTGTCTTCTCCAATCCTGTGATGTTCCTGTTTTGCAAAAGGATCAGATCTGAAGGGGTGCCAAACACTGAGTGTACTGGCAGATCTAGTGACAGAGGTTACAAGGCCTCCACTTTCCAGAAGCTAGATTCCAGCTATTGTTTTTAAGATACAACCCAGTGAAATTAAGCAAACTAGCTCTACAGTCCGTATATGCCTTAATGCAGAAGATATAGAAGAATATTTTGCATTCTTTCTTATAGTATAGACAAAGGATTATTTAGCATAAATATTAAGTATTAAATATTGTTAAATACTAGCAAAGGCACTTACATAATGTCAGCATATTGGCCCCAACAACATGGGTCATCATTTTACCGACCTTGGATGTATGGAAGACTTAGTCAACCTTGAGCTGATCAGGATTGAACTCAAGGCTGTGGGCAGAGTTTTTAAGATTGCTATACTGCATTCTTAAATTAAATTAAATGAGGACCCAAATTTGGGGGGGCAATAGGCTGACTCTGTAAACCGCTTAGTGAGGGCTGTAAAGCACGATAAAACAGTATATAAGTCTAAGCGTTATTGCTATTCTAACCACTGTGCCACCATAATCAAAATTACCTTGAATTTTATTTTTATTTGTTTCTTAAGTCTAAAAAGTTTCTGTTATTAAGATGCAATTATAGAATATTCATCTTTTTTTACTTTCACAAACTTAGCACCTGGAGATTGGGAAAATGTTAGTAAATTTACTCTTCTATTTTAAATAGTGCGAATGGTTATTTTTTTAGAATTGCATAAAATAGCTGATGTTTGCTAATTAGCTTAATTATTTATTTGCTGTCAGTGTTCATATATTGTTCCATAGTAGCCAACTCTACAGCAAGTTGCAAACTGCCACAGCAAACGTGTTATGTTTATATTTGCTAAATTATTTGCTCAATATCAAATAAATATCAGTGAAAAGGCATTTTTCCTTCTCTTTGTTTTCAAAAAAGAAGTTTGAAACTATCTGATAAATCAACATATTTTGACAGAAACTTCCCCTATTGTTTTAATTTATAATTCATCCATCTTTAATAATACAATCCTCTAAACTTCACCAAATAATAAGCTCTACCTAATAGAGTTTGATCTACTTCTAGAAAAAAATATGCAGAGGATTCTGCTACACATTATTAATTTGTGTTAATCTCAAAGTACATACTGTTAATTCAGAGGTCTTAGAAAATATTCAACATAATTTGGAACTAGCAAAATATTTGTAATTATTTTAAAATCTATATGCTACCCAACATCAAAAAACTGAGGGCGCATGTGACCCAATTTTTAAGCTCTTTCTGGTGGATCAATCAAATTCAAAAGTTAATGGGATCCATATTGATACTCAGAATATTTTGGCACATGGCTTTCAGAATCACTATCCACACTGATTATGGCTTACAGGAATTGTACAATTGTCTATCCCTGCTCTGAATAACATCAGCCTGAGATTCAATAGAAAGGATGAAATCCAACCTACCACTCCCCACCTGCGATGACTCATAGATTGATTAATCTTTGCTACAGCAAACATTTGAAGATATAGTTCCACATTCATCTATTCAGTTTTCTAAATATTCAGCTTTCTAAATATAATTTGGATTAAATTCAGCTTACTAAATACAATTTTTATATTTATTCAATTTATATCACATATTTGTACAAGAAGCTTATGACAATTTAATAAAGGGAACAATTTTTCTGTTTTATTATAATATATATTGAAATATAAATATAATTATGAAATAAATGTCAGATTCCATTAAATATAAGCACTGTTTTTTTAAAAAAAAAATTAGATTCAGTTCAATAGAACTGAGATACTTCTATTAAATCAGGAAAGACCAGGATTGTTAAGCTTAGATATATTGGGCGGTTTGTTGTTGTTTGATAGTTTGTTACATTTTACCTGATATGCAGTTACTTGATATACAGTTGTTATAATTGAAATAAGGTATATTTTCTTTGGGATTTCTTAGGAATTCTGTTTTATCTGATATAAACCTACCTTTTTATCATATACATCTTGCCAATTTATTCCAACAAAGAAGCTGTGTCGCATAATTTCTTTAGCATCATCTGGTCCTCCACCAAGACTATTGGGGAAGAGTGTAAACAATACAGTTCTTATTAGTAAAAAAGAAAAAAGGGGGGGAAGTACCCAGAGACCATGTGATCACTAAAAAAATTAAAATTATTCCATGAAATAATGTAAGATTTAATAAGTAAGCCATTAATAATTAAAAACACAACTTTCAAGTTGGGGGATTTGTTTTTAAAAATAACAATACATATCTAATTATATGCCTTCCTTAATACAATTTGGAGCTCATGCATTTTCACTTGCAGTTATTAAAACTTGCTATACAAATTAATTGGATTGAAAACACAGGAATGCTCATATAGATTTTAATCTTAAAGCAAAAAAATTTCCTAGAATATGTAAAGTGAATTTTGCATGAGACAAAAGCAGATTAGAAAGAGTTATCTGCATTTTCTGTTCCTTTTACTTCAAAGGCCCCGCATATGTGGTACAGCCAATCTGCTGGTATTATTGATGGTTATTTTATTATGTTTGGATCCTATGTCTTTTTATTCTATATTATTTGTTTTAATCAGCTATCAATCAATCAAATAAATAATATCTGAAAGTGTTATAAGATAAAAGAGACAATTCAGGAAACTGAGATCCCAGTAAAGTATGCCTTAGTGCAGAGGTGGGCAACTATGACCCCTTTATGACTTATGGACTTCAACTCCCAAAATTCCTGAGCTAGCGTGGCTTGCTCAGGAATTCTGGGAGTTGAAGTCCATAATTCATAAAAGGGCCATAGTTGCCCACCCCTGCCTTAGTGCCTCTATCACTCACACTGATTATCAATACAACTTGAACACATTTCCAATCTTGAGAGAGTGATATTTTACTGTGGTTTTGGCATAACTTTCCTGTTCTGTTTCTAAAAGTTGCTACCATGCTTTCCGATTTTGTTAAAATAAACTATTACTTCAATTCTTTTTTCAGTTTTCTATATATTTTTAAATAATGTTATGCTTTTAGTTACATTACATTGTCCCTGCTTCCATTTAAAGATAACCAAACTTATTCAAAATTAGCTTTTTCATTTAATTGTCCTTTATGCAATAAGACTATCTTGCTTATCTAATTGTACTCTCATTAAGCCATAAACATATTCAGCTATAGCTCCCATCTAATTCTTTTAATATAAGGCTTTTCAAATGTTTATGTGTTTGTGAGTGTTCTCTTTTCTTTTTCACATTTACTACATCTTTTTCTTTGAATGTACTTTGCATTATATATGTAAAATAATTTCATAAAAACTATTTAAAATTATATATTTTGAGTATTTTTATGCTACTTTAATCTGCAAAGAGGAACAAGGAGAGCATGTAATGAGCAATTCATCACAAACTTGCAATGCAAACTTCTTTCCTTGTATCATGGCATCATAAAGTATGTTTTATCATAGCAATATTATAATTAGGGTTATGGCTTCAGTTATGTAACTGTTAAGTGGCATACAGCAACATAAAGAAATAATTATATTGTGTGCTTATGTGTGTAAATATAAACGTATGAATATAGATGTCTGTGACCGTTTTCCAAGGAATATGAATAAAATGTAGCAACTATTGCATTTGCTTCCATGCAACTATTAGAGATATGCCTTTCCCTGAAATTATTGCTATCAAACCTATGAAAAGACAAATTTATAGAATGACAGAGAGGTGCTATGATATACCCTCACATTCCATAGTACTTCTGTCTATTAACAGCAGTTCAACTTATCGATTCAAATAAGACAATTGAATTTACAAAGAGAGGAAAAGTGTCCAAACAGAGTTGCAATACGACACAAAGAAGTTTTTTCTCCTTAACACCTAAATTACTTATAAGAAATAATTTGATAATGGTTGAGCCATTATTTTCTCTGAGACTTTACAGCAGGTTACAATTTATTTTTTCAGGAAAATATAGGCAACTTCTATGCTTCATCATTGTATTCTCAATCCAAAAACATTAATACCTCTTTTTGAGTTTTGAGAGCCAATAACAGACCTACAATTTTAATAATTGTATCCCATTATTTGCAGTGAGCCCAAAGAATATTATTACCAACTAATCACTTTTTAAACCTTATTTATTGTATTTAAAAATGTAATATATAATTCAAACACTGGAAAGTCCAGTACTGACTAACTAAGCACCATTTTAGTTCTTAAGAGATATTTTCTCTTTAGTTATAAACTTTGCCACTTCTGATCCTATAAAAATTTTAATACTAAAATATATCTGTTATACTTTAATCTTACCGTTTATTTGGATCTTTTATCAAGAGACCTGAAAGCAATGATTTTGCATCAGATGAGAGAGTTCGAGGAAATTTTATATCTTCCATCAGAATGAGTTCAAAAAGTTTTTCATGATCCTGATTGTAGAATGGCAATCTGCCACACATCATTTCATACATAACAACTCCAAGGCCCCACCAATCCACTGCGCGACCATAATCATTGTCTTCCAAAACCTAAAATAGCAATATCAAGGCATTATTAACACTTAGACAAATATATTTACCTGATAAACAGCTTACTTCTGAAATAATTACCCTTTAAAAGATAACGTTATCATAATTTTCTAAGGAAAAGGAAAGTATTATATTTAGTCTTTGTTAAACAAGGCAGTAACTTCATTTCGAGGTCATTACCCTTCTAGGTAAACACAGATGTATATGATTTAAAAGATTTTGAGCATCTGTTTTAAAAGTATCAATTATGTGCCTTGAGCTCTACTGTTTTATTTATTAGAATCAAGGATTCAATTTAGCGTAGTGGAGCATAGTCCTGATCATAAGGTATTTCATTTTTCATCTTCCACTATAAAAGCAATGATGTGGTTGCAATAATTCTGGAGAAACCGCAGGTATCTTCTATTTGTTATGCTATGGTGTTGTTATGACAAAAATTAATGCTCCAAGGCAGTGTTTCTCAACCTTGGCAACTTTTAAGCTCTGAATTCAACTCCCAGAATTCTGAGGGATTTGAGGATCACACAACTTAAGTTGCTACGGTTAAGAAACACTGCTCTAAGGATTGAACAACATATAAGGCATAGGCTTGGTTTATTGTTTGCCAATCAATTAACAGTGGAATGCACCATATAGAGCATTATTTTCTATTATTCATCAAAGCAACTTTTTGAGGAAGCTTCAACAATAATTGGCCAAAGCCATCCACTAAACTTCCTTGGCCAAGGATAGCCTGTAACCAGGCTGTCCAACAGCTTAACCTCTACATTACATTATTTTTTAATTATTATGGTCAGTTGTATCATCAGCCAGATGTTTAGACTGGATCTAGAATTTTTATCCACCTATCAAGTTCTTCCCAAGAATCTGGGGGTAGAGGAATGCTGGTATTTGTTAAAGGTATCATTACAGGATATAAATTATACCAACTAAAGTTATATTCTATAATGGAATGGTGGTAATTTTGTCAATGACAAACTCTTCAAGCGGTATACCAAATTTTGGGGATCGCCCCCAAAGCATCTTTTCCTATTGATACTAACTTTGTTCTCTTTTGCCATTGGCGTTTTACTTCTATTTGCAGGCCTTTGTATTTTGTGATTTTCTCCAATTCTTTCTCTTCTGTTGTCTTCAGGTACGCAATATCCACTATCCAGACATTTTTGTCTTTCTTATCAGTAATTGTTAACTCTTGAGTGTTATGTAGCAGGTGCTTATTGTTATGATCGGTTGTACATTCAGGCAGAAGTTTAGGCTGGATTTGGCTTTTTTATCCATCTACTGAGTCCTTCCCAAATCCCTGGGATAGATAAAGGTTGTAATTTAATAATATAAATATATTATTGCAGAATGTAAGCTATGTCAAGTAAAATAGCTTTTTGCAATTGACTGGTGTTGATTTTGTCAATGTTGATGGAATTCAAGAAGTGCTGCAGATATCTTGGCATTCTATTCAAGGCTAAATTTGTTTAATTTTGTTTAATACATCTTTGTTTTCTTTTTCCAAAGTATTGCAATCTCCACTATCCAAACTTTTAAAAAATCTTTCTTATCAATAATTATTAAGTCTGGGTGTTATGTGGCAGATGATTGTCTGTTTGAATTCTAAAATCCCACAGCACTCTAGCTTCTTCATTTTCTTCATTTTCTATTGCTTTGTCTGTTTTGTGGTCTCACTAGTTCTTGCTTGCAGGCAAGTGGCATTTCTTGCAGATATATGCACCATTATTGGTACTTTGTCATGCCATTGTTGTTGTTGCTCTTGTTGTTATAGTTAGGAATGCTGGAACAAAGAAAATATTCCTATATTTTTTCCAGTACCATATAATATGATACAACTGTATACATCATTGTATAAGAACTCCTTTCATTGTTAAGGTACATCTGTAAATTTATTTAATGGCATTAAGATAAAAAAGAGAAGTATTTCTTCATATATACGATTATGCCTATAAAACTGAATCAAGTCCTACATCTATCTAAATAAATGTATATCAATTACATTTAGGAAGAGTTTACTAATATTAGAAATAAAAGCAGTATTTTAGAGTTTTTCTGCTTGTTTTAATAATCAATGAGATAAAGTTCTGCTTTTCAGTGATGAAAATAATAAGACAGTAATGCAGAACCACTGTCATACATTAAATTATACTTGACCAGTAAGTTACTAACATCTTTCAGTTAGTGTATTAACACTATATAAACCATCTTGGGACTATTACATTTAATCGACACTAAATTATTAAATAAAATTTAATTGATCATATAAAAATATCTTAAAACTATTTCAGTTTACACATGAATAAAAATATTAGATTGGTAAAAAGCAAACTTTGTTATTGTTAAATAACTCACATATCTATTGTAACATTTAGAATGGGGATCCCCTTTTGCATTAAAAAAAGGAAAAATATATGTGGTAAAATATGAAGTGTCTGTGGCTTTTTTTAAAAGTATATATAATAAAACTTAACATTTACTTTGGAACTACCACCAATAAAATATCTAGAAACTGAAATTGAATAATTTAGAGAAAACATGACACTTCAATTCAACCTTACCATAGCAAGGCAGGATTTATCAGTTGTTATAATAAATATATTTCCTATATATTAGGATCATTCAATATATTTCAAAGATTTAAAAACATTAGCTAACAAAAGTCATGGTTTTCAGTTATTAGATTATTTGACAGGCTTAACTTAAAACATGATTTTATTCACATAAGTTCTTGCAACAGAAAGAAATATTTTAAATGCAGTTTAATTTGTTTTCAAGACAAATTCAACTACAATATCATGTTTCTCTTTTCCAATTTATTTATCTTTTACTATGAATGTTGTGTTTCATATCACTGAGTATCAGTGAGCTTATTTTGGGCAGTGTTAAACCACAACTGAGAAACAGTTTGTTCTAGTGGTTAAGGCATCAGGCTAGAAACCAGGAGGCCGTGAATTCTAGACCTGCCTTAGGCACAAAGCTGGCTGAGTGACTTTGGGCCAGTCACTTTCTCTCAGCCCCAGGAAGGAAATAATGGCAAACCTCTTCCGAAAAACCTGGCCAAGAAAACTACAACTACTTGTCCAGGCTATCTCCAGGAACAGAACATGATTCCAGAATGAGCACACAAACTTGAGCTCAAGCATAATTTTACTTCTGATGGGGGAAACAAGTTCTGAAGCTTTCATTTCCACTGTAAACAATCTCAACACATACAGTACAGCAGACATATGGATAAAAATGCATTGTTTTGAAATGTGACTGTATCCCAAGTCCCCAAATTTCAACTGGCAATTGTTGGATTAACTTTGGGACATTACTAATAGCACTTAGCATAGCATTTTAGGCTTACATATTGTCCCATAGCACTTTACAGTACTCTCTTGGAGGTTTACAATGTTGAAGCATTATTTGCATATTGCCCCCAATAATCTGGATCTTCATTTTACTGACCTGGAAGGATAGAAGGTTGAGTTAACCTTGAGCCCAGTCAGCATCCAAGCCTGTGAGCAGTTTGCAATCCTACACTTGTAACCACTGCCCCACCAAGACTAATGAAACTCATCAAAATATTCTTGGGGAGAAACTATATGCGTCTTTCTATTTATTTATCCTTTCTTTTTAACTTTAATAAAGTATTATTGTCAAAATACTTCATGTCTTTTATTTTATTCATATGTTTTTAAATAAATTTCTCTGATTGATCACTGACTATATTATGTAGCCCTGATTACTATTTTAAAAAAATATCAAGGGAGGAGGTGAACTCCTTTCATTGGTTGCGCTCAAGTAGAGGCTGGCAGCCATATTGTCAGACATATTTGGAGTCCTATACTGAGCAGGAGACTGGACTTGATAGCCTAAATGGCCCTTTCCAATTATGTAAAAAAAAAGAAAAAGAAAAAGAAAACCCTTTACATAATGGACATAGGCTGTTTCAAAAATTTAATAAGATTACTAAGAGGACATATACACATATTTAAACATAAAACTAGGTAGCAATTTTAAATCTAGTTTTAAAGTATTATAAAAACTGTATTTCAGGAAAACTGAAAAATAAAAATTATTTACTTTCTGGAGGGCTCCCCCCACTCCAGCTAAATATTATTATATAGGACAATGATATGAAAATATATTCAAAAGTTAATTGTTACTGAGTAATGAGTTCTTTCAAGAATGTTTGCATATAAGCCCATTCTTTTATATCAGGCTTTAATATGAATAAGATAGAACCATGATAGTGAACCTAATGCTCTTTTGAGTTGAGCCGTGCCAGCCAGCTGGTCTCCACACATGCAGGAGCACTGAAACCAGAAGAGCAGCTGCCCGGTGCGCATGTGCATGCCAGGAAGATAATCTTCCCGTTTCTGGTGTGTGCCTGCGCACTAGCCACCTGATCTTCCGGTTTCTGGCATGCATGTGCGAAGATCAGCTGGCCGAACCAGAAAATCATCTTCCCGGTGGCTGGTCTTCTGGTTTACCAGCCAGATGGTCTTTGTGCATGCATGCGCACCAGAAACGAGAAGTTCTGCTGACCGATGTGCATGTGCATGCCAGAAACCGGAAGAGCAGCCGCCTGGTGCATGCATGCACACCAGGCAGCTGCTCTTCTGGTTTCTGGCCCACGCACATGCACACTCCCATTTCGGCATGCCGAAAACACTGAGATAGAATATTGACAGTGAAAGTCATTTAATCAAAATTACCATTATATGAAAACAATTACCAATCAATTGTTCTGTATATTCTTACTTGGCATTCAAATAATTTTTATTTTAACACTATTACAAAAGTACATTTTCTAGGATTCTAAGAAACCACCTTATTCAACCTTCCCCATCTGTCACCATCTGTTTCTTTTTAGCATGTACTTTTTGTGTGATCACATAAGCATGTGAAAAAAACTAATATTCATATGATTATCTGTTCATGCATTTGAGGACTGGACATAATGAAGCTGAAATGCCAAAAATGTACTTAACACTTCAAGCGTTGTTGTA